TTAGACACCTGAACCTCGTTGTGAGAAGGTCCAGGTATTTCCGACTGTGAACCTTGATTGCTTCTAATCTCAGCTTGTGGGGTCCCTTGAACAACATCGACAACTCTGTTTTCAACTTCAGTTGTTGTGATTGAGGGACCAAGTTCCTCTCCATCAGTTGGAGATATGGTTGCACCATCCTCATTTGATTCCTCAACGTGGCTCATCATATCAGCCTTTCCATTTGCCATGTCAATGACTTCACCAGGAACAGTTGACTGTTCTCCATCTAGATCATTCTTACCATTCAAATCCTTTCCACACGGGTCATAAGATTCATTGAAAATCACATGTATGCTTTCCTCAATGCATTGAGTTCTTTTGTTATATATTTTGTAGGCTTTGCTTTGTGATGAATAACCTAGAAAGATTCCCTCATCGCTTTTGGCATCGAATTTTCCAAGTGCTTCTTTGGCATTGTTGAGGACAAAACATTTGCAACCAAATGTTCTCAAATGTGTCAGCATGAGCTTCCTTCCATTCAGCAATTCATATGGCATCTTGTTCAGAAGGGACCTGATCATGCACCTGTTCACCAAGTAGCATGCAGTATTGACGACTTTTGCCCAGAACCCTTTTGCAGTGCCACTGTCAATCAACATTGTTCTTGCCATGTCTTCAAGTGTTCTGTTCTTCCTTTCCACAACACCATTTTGTTGAGGTGTTCTTGGAGCTGAGAAATTGTGAGTGATGCCATTTTCAGCACAGAATTCGTCGAATTTTTCATTGTCAAATTCTGTCCCATGGTCAGACCTGATACATAGTACATTAAGGCTCATCTTCACCTGGATCTTCTTCACAAATGCCACAAACACTTGAAAGGTTTCATCTTTGGTTTTGAGAAACAGAGTCCAAGTGAATCTGGAATAGTCGTCCACTATGACAAATATGTACCTATTTCCTCCTCTACTTGGCACCCTCATAGGTCCACATAGATCCATATAGAGGAGAACAAGTGGCCTTGAGGTGCTAACTTCCTTTTTGGGCTTGAAAGATGATCTGACTTGCTTTCCTTTTATACATGCATCACACACCCCGTGATCCTTGAAGCTTGACTTGGGCAGACCACGAACCAGGTTCTTCTTGACCAATTTGTTCAGCAACGTGAAACTTGCATGACGCAGCCTTCTGTGCCATAGCTCAACATTATCATCAACAGTACTCAGACAACTAAGATCCCCATTTTGCAAGGACTCAAAGTTAGCAAATAGATATTTTTGTATCTTTTGGCCATTAACACCACTTCACCAGTCACAAGATTGTGACTGTGCATATTTTCGATACAAATTCCACTTTGTTTCCCTTATCACAGATTGTGAAACACTCAGCAAGCTATACTCAACCCCTTCACATAGTACATATTTTCAACAGAGTGAGAACGAGACTTCCCGATCCTTCAAAATCCCAGAATGTATCTCTTCTTTCCATTTCCAAAGGATACACTCCCTCCCTACAGGGCCTTCAGTGAAAGAAAATCATTTGTACTTCCAGTCATGAGCTTCGAGCAGCCGCTATCCATGTACCATTATTGGTTGCTCCCTTTCACTGTTCCCTGCACAAGGATATCAAGGGTTAGACTTAGGAACCCAAACAAGTTTGGGTCCCTTGTAATGAGGAAAGGGGTATATAAGGGCTCTTTTGGTCCAAACAAGCATTATACGTTTTTTTATGTGAAGGACCAGGTTCCCTAGTAGTAGTTACTTTTTCAGCAAAAATTTTGTTTTTCTGTTAAGATTGAAATCTGGCCTTACAGGTTTCCTTAAAGTGCCCAGTGTTACCACAGTGAGTGCATAGCCAATTGTCAGGTAAAGTGACGTACTTGCTATGAGGGTTGTATGGAGTCTTTTCCCTTTGAAACCTGATTCCCTGCCTGTTTCCCCCATTGTTGTGTACATGGCAGTGATAGCATCAGCGGACCAGGTCCACTTGAGTGATTTTTCAAGATCACTCTTGACTCTTCCTAGTTCTTCCTGAAGTTGTTTGTTTTTCTCAAGCTCAACACACAGACTAGATTTCACTGACTTTAACTCATTTTCAAGCTTAAGATGTGCCTCACTTGCAACTTCCTTTCCCTTTTGAGTGTTCCCAGTACTATTCTCCATTTTAAGTTCCTCAATTGTTTCCTTTAGGTCTACCACTACTACTAATAGGTCATCTCTCTCATGCTCAATGTTAGCAACTCTCTCAGTTAAAACTTCTTTCTCCTTTTTAACACACTCAATGGTCTCTTTTAGATCGACCACAACAACCACTAGATCATCTCTCTCATGTTCTATGGTTGCAATTTTTTTAACTAAGGCATATTTTTCTTTCTCCAGACTCTCAATTGTTTCCTTTAAATCAACCACAACGATTACTAGATCATCTCTAGAAAGTTTACCTCATCATCATCGTCGTCATCTCCATCATCATCATCATCAGACTGCGCCATCAAGGCAAAAATGGAGTCATACTCAGCTGCTTCACTTTCCACTGCTATCATGGAGCTGTCACCTTGATCATCATCTTCTTCAGACTCGCTTGAAGAGTCTCCCCATGCAGCAAGAGCTTGTTTCACAATATTGTCAGCAACATTTTTCCTGTTGAAGCATTTATCAGGTACCGGGTTCCTCTTGGCTGCTTTGTCAATGTTGTCTTAGTACTGATATTGCTTTAGGAGAGGGCAATCCTTGATGAAGTGTCCTGGCTTGCCGCACTTATGACATAGGTCATAACCTTTTGGCTTGCTGGAGCTCCCCATTTTGGAATGCCTCCATTCCTATGAACCATCTTCTGGAAACGTTCTGTTAGGTAAGCCATATCAGCATCCTCACCACTTGAATCATTGATGTCCGTCTTGAGGACCGGGTTCATCTCCCTTTTGGGCTCTCTTCTCTCATTATCCTTCTTCTTCTTCTTCTTCTTCTTCTTCTTCTTCTTCTTCTTCTTCTTCTTCTTCTTCTTCTTCTTCTTCTTCTTCATAGGTTTTACTGACAAGTTAATCAATGGTCAGCTCCTGAAGATCCTTTGCCTCTTTAATGACATTTACCTTGCTTTCCCAGGAACCAGGTAATACACTAAGTATCTTCTTGACAAGTTTGTTCATGGGGATGATCTCTCCCAGTGAGCGAAGCTCATTGATGATAGACGTGAAGCGAGTGTGCATATCCTGAATGGACTTATCGTCCTTCATTCTGAAAAGCTCATACTCTATGGTCAACATGTCAATCTTGGACTGCTTTACCTGCGTTGTCCCTTCATGAGCTGTTTGGAGAGCTTCCCAGATCTCCTTAGCAGATTGGCATGCTGAAATTCTGTTGTATTCATCAGGACCAATCCCACAGACAAGAATTTTCTTAGCCCGAAAGTTCTTCTCAATGGCCTTGTAGTCAGCATCATTATATTCCTTTCAAGTTTTAGGAATAGTCACTTCAGGGTCTCCAACGGTCTTGGTAGGTACAAAGGGTCCATCACATATGATATCCAAAGCTCTGGAGTCTTCAGCCATGATAAAGTCGTGCATCATTGTCTTCCACCATCCATAATATTGGCCATTGAACCTTGGTGGTTTCGAAGTTTGGCAGAGCATCCTTTCTAGGTGTTAGCCTGATAGAAAGAACCTGCTCTGATACCAATTGATAGAATTTAAGGGTCCACCAAACTATATAGAGAACCAGGTTCTCTATTAAATCCCACAGAACACACGCACACTGGAGTAAGTAAATGACACAATGGAGTTTTACGTGGAAAACTCCCAGTTCACGGGATCAAAAATCACGACCAACCCTTGTAGGATTTCAACTTCATTACTGAGCAAACTTTAGATTACAAACTATTGTAACCTAGGAATTAACCTCTTAATCCCTCACTAACTTGTAACAACACTATTACAAGTCACTTTGTAATAACTTTATTACAAAGACTTTACAACTCGACTAACTCTAGTCAAGACACAAAAATTTCTTACACAATGCTTCTAACTAAGCTAAGTAGGAATTACAAGTAAAGTGCTTTAGCAAAGGTACAACACAACTAAGGACATGTAATAACTCGATACAGGAAACCGGTCGTTGTTATGTTGTTCTTTGTTCTTGATGCCCTTGAGAGTCACTTACAAGATTGATAGATGACTTGAGAGAATGCTTGATCAAATCTTGAATGTGCAAGTGATTTGTTTTTACCTTGCTTGATGTTAATAATTCATTTGTGACATCACTTTGAATGATGTAAGCAAGTTAGGTAAAGGGCATTCCCCATAAAGTTGACTGCTGCACTGTTTCTGTACTGTAGCGTGTGCAGGCAACAACTTTACAGCTGGGGCAGTTGACTTGTACAGTCTCCTTGGGAACTGGTAGCTATTTGTTCCCTCTGCTGTTCCTTTAACTCTGAAGAGTTGAACTGTGTCCCCAACTGGAGACTTGTTGATCTTTAAGTTCTTGAGGATGTGTATCAGGTTCCTTATCTGGTTCTTAACAGTAAGTTTGTTAGATCATCAAAACATAACAGGGATACACATATAACCTATCAATATACAAATTATTAATTTAGAACCGAGTAACTTAAAAATATTATAATCCCAAACCCATAAGGTTCAAACTAGTTCCGTTTCTGCTTCTGGTATTTCAACTTCGCTTAATACTGAAAGCTGAATGATGTATTAGTTATACATAAATTATCTTTATAATGCTAAGTTTTATACTGAAAACTGAAAATTGTATAGGTAATACCGAATTTAGAGCTATGTCACTCTTATCAGCTAGAAACATATCCAGGTTCCATCACAAACGTCAGAAAATATTCCAAACTTTTTTTTGTCTACTTACCAATTACTAGTAGATAACAGTTGGATACAAAATGGCCGGCTGTTGATGTTGCCTTTCATATAAAATTTTCCATTACCAACTCAGTCACAATATGTTATTACAATATAGAAAAGCAAAGGAAATGAATAAAAAATTAATGGTCATTCCTTTCATATACATCACTGCTTGGCCTGCCATTAAATCTCATTGGACATTAATCTCAACATCATTCCTTCATTTGCCACATTCTTGCTTCTTGATTCTTCATGTTTTGTTTATTTTGACCATATCAGAAATGCTTAACATATAAACTTTAATTTGCCTGCCATGAACTTTCAATGGCTTCTAGTAATTTGGATCTGTATTGGCTCAAGCTATGGCCAACAATTCTATGATTCAACCCCTTGTTTTTCTAATATCACTTCTCCAGGTACTAGATATACTTGTACTTCTCTAAATGATTCTTGTCAAACATTCTTGATTTATAGAGCTAATCAAGATTTCACTACAATATCTGATGTTTCTTACTTGTTTGGTTTTTCTCCTGATGTACTACTCACCTTAAACAATGTCACTTCGTCGTCGCAGATTCTTGAAATTGGTAGAGAGGTAATTGTTCCAATTCAATGTTCTTGTTTAGGTGAGTTCTTTCAAGCTAATATTAGCTACCACGCACCTACAAACACAAAATTCGACGACGTTGCTTGTGGAGTTTTTGAAGGTTTAGTTAAATCCATTACACTTTTGGAGGAAAATAATTCCAAGAAAACCAATATTTCTGATGTCAATTATGATATCAAAGCTAGTACAGAGTTGCTAGTGCCTTTGAAATGTGCATGTCCTGATAATTTTTTTGATGTTGGAATACATTACTTTGTCACATACCCTTTTATTTCAGGAGATGATACAGGAAAAGTAAGTGAAAAATTCAATATTTCTGTTGAAGATATATGGGGTGCTAACCATTTAAGTTTTAATCCCACTGTATTTTCAAACACAACAATTTTAGTTCCCTTAAGAGGAAAACCATCTATAAATTTCAGCATTCTTGATTCTGATGCTCCTACTCCTGGTTTTCTACCAACACAAATGGTAGAAAAATCATCCAAAAACCAGAAACTGAAGAAACTTTACATTTCAGTGTCTGTTGTTGGTTTTTTTCTGTTTGCTGCAACTTTAGTTGCTTGTGGTTTATATATAAGGGCCATAAGGAAATTCAAGGCAGAGAGAAATCGTTCTTCGATACATAAAAGTTCTGTTACTTCAGGTTCAACACCAAGAAATTCCCCTCCGATGACTACTAGAAGTTCCACGAATTCGTGCTTATCACCTGATTTACTTGCAGGAATAAAGTACACTTTGGGGGAGTACAACATAGATGAATTGAAAAGAGCGACGGATCATTTTAGTGAAGGAACTAAGATAAGTGACAATGTATACAAGGGTTGTGTTGATAATGATGAAGTATTGATCAAGAAAATAAGATTTGAGGACACAAAACAAGTAATTGATGTACACTCAAGAATCAATCATGTCAATATTGTGAAACTTAAAGGTGTTTGTTATGGTGAGGATGATATTTCAGGATCTTATCTTGTGTTTGAATATCCATCAAATGGAACATTAAGGGATTGTTTGTCAAACTCCTTAGCTTCTCTTAGTTGGCATAAAAGAACTCAAATTGCCTTTGACATTGCCACAGGGTTACATTACTTACACTTTTGCACTATTCCACCTTATACACACATGAACATAAATAGCAAAAATATTTTCTTGACTCCGAATTGGAGGGCAAAGCTGGCTGTTTTTGGAGCAAAAGCTGTCATTGGAACGACGAAGGAAATTGGAAGTATTGGAAGTCTCGGGGGCTGGATTGCCCCCGAGCATCTAGTACATGGCTCGGTGTCTGAAAAAGTGGACATTTTTGCATTCGGGGTTGTATTACTCGAGCTCATATCGGGTAAAGAAGATGTTGATGGGAATTTTTTGAGGGATTCAATTACATTTTTGAGAGGGGGAGATAATGAAGGAAGATGCTTTGAACAATTAAAAAATTTCATTGATTCAAGCCTTATGGAAGATTACCCTTTAGCTGAAGCATTATGTTTAGCTGTTTTAGCTAAAGCTTGTATTGAAGATGATCCTTTTCATAGGCCATCTATGGATGATATAATTAAAGTTCTTGCTAGAATGGTATGATTTTCTGCTGAGGGTTTATCGGGAACAACCTCTCTACCTCCGTAAGGTAGAGGTAAAGTCTACGTACACGCTATCCTCTCTAGACCCCACCTGCAGGAGGAGTGGTATGATTTTCAGAAACATATTCCATTGATTACCATAAGCATTAATTGTTAATTATCATCAATTAGTTGTACTTGCCTCAGTCAATTATTAATGTCTCTTTTGTAGCTACAATTTTCACATGATCTATGAATTCTTGCTTTCAATTTGTATTCTTTTTAATGAATCCTAGCTACTTCCTTTCCATCACTAAGGTCCAGTACTGATTATATATTCATTTATCGATCTTTATAGTATTTGTTGAATTATTCTTGTTTCTCAAACTTGCTTCCTTTGTTTTCTTTGAGCCAAGGGTCTATTGAAAATAGTCTCTCTACCTCACATGAAGTAGGGGTAAGATCTGCATACGCACTACCCTCCCCAGACATCATTTGTGGGATTATACTTGGTATATATGTTATTGTTGTTAAATCATTCTTGCCAATATTTTTCATCTTCAGGTTAAGGTTTAAATGTCTAAATTAAATAATCCTAATATCGTAGCCAAGAAAATAAAATAAATAGACCGCTACGCATATAACCGGTTAAAATATAAGATATGGTAAAAATATCTTACACTGTCAATGTAGATAAGTTAAATTATTAGAACATATTAGTTTTTTTTTTTTTTTAATTAGTGATAGGGACATGCAGCTGATTTTTGTAATACTGCAAATTATGCACTTTTGGAAGGAACAAAGGGACTATCTGTTGGACATGACTTGTAGAATCTTTATTGTAGTGCTTTGCCGATTGTTTGACATAATCTTGTTCAATACTTAATTATTTATTGCCTTACTCTAATTAATTAACCTTTCCTACATATTGTTGCTTTGTGGGTTAGTAGAATAAGAAATACTAAAGACAAATATGTCAAAAGACTGAAAACGAGAGGCATAATAGTACAAAGAACAAGTGCCATTAATTTATTTTGCTACAACCTAATAAATAATAAATACAACAAAGAAATACACTATATTGTGGAAAAAATTCCAATCATGTTACGTGGAAAATAATACTAGTAGTTTACGGGATAAGGAAATTCCTAGCTAGCTCATATACTGAACTCAATTTTATTGTACGATAAACAAAATCATTGTAACAATAACTAGAAATATGGTAAATTACTTCTGAGATTATATTGTAGAGTCATTTTCATTATTCTTTAGGATCATTTGGTCGATAGAGTCGGATCGGTCGTTTATTTGCTGCTTGGACTGGTCTTGAATTGGTTTCAGATTCCTGCAAAAGAAAAAAAATGTGATCAAATATAGAGAATTAGCACCCATGGTACAACTAAATGAAGAATGATTGATAACAACAATTTACCAAATATTAGTCGTTTTGACAAGATTTAAATATTTGATGCTTTCGAAAATAAGAAGTATTTACTTCTTTTTTCAAATTAAAACTTACGCTAGAATTAGTGAAGTGTTAATTATCGTGACATTTAAAGGAGAATAAAGGGTGATTTAGTCGAATATTTTTATGAAGGGGAGCCTTAGTGTAAATGGTAAAATTATTGCTATGTGATGAGGAAGAGGTTACGGTTCGAGCAGTGAAAACAGTCTCTTGCAGAAAAACAGGAGCTTAGTACACCGGGATATCCTTTTTAATCGAATATTTTTATGATTAAGGATAATCATATATTTCTTAAAGGATTTGCCAAAATCTTAAAATGATACTAAATATAATAGAGAAAATCTCACTTTATACCCATTAAATTTAAACTATTTACCCTTAAATACTCATACCTAAACTATTTACTTTTCCTACCTATGCAATCAATACTATTTACCCGCCCAAATGGTTTCCTTATTTAATGTACGTAAAAACTCCTAAAATTTAGAATTTTGAATGTAAACAAAGAATTTGCTATTTTTTCTCTCCTGACATTAAGAACACGATTTTTCTTCTTTTAAATTTTTTGTCTACTTCTTTTTTCGTTAGAGAGTGTTAATAATAAATTTAACGAAATCATGTTAGAATAATTTTACAAGTTAAAGATGTATACAATTAAAGTAATAAATATGTATTCCATGTTGGATATAATGAAGTTATGGATAATATTTCAAATATTTAATATCACAGTTAATTTTTAAATTTTGAATGTGCTAATATCTTGAACTCTGAGTTCAACTATAGACAGTTGAACTTCTATAGTGATAGAGTAAAAAACTCTTTATACTAACTAAAAGAAAAGATAACTATACATAAGTATTCGTGCATAAGAAGCCATATAAGTAATTCGGAAAATAGGCAAGTAACATGCTACTAATGTATACTTTTAAGTTAGGAAAATCAAAATATACCCGATCTAGGACAATATACTGATTAAACATTGAACGTGGATTTTCTGATGTATAAATATTGTAGAAGCCATGATGCACCAAACAAAGGTGTTCAATATGTGTTATATAACTCTAAACGTAATATTTTACCTAAATACACATTGTAATTTTTCGACGAAAGGTGGTCAATTGACCACCCATATGACCATGTGGCTTCGCCACTGATCCAACCTCATATATTGTCTATATTTTGTAAACCTTGCTAGTACAGTCAATCTAGAGCATTGATTGACTGACTGGTAATGCTTTAATAGTTTGTTAATCAATCATTTGTAGAATATTCTGTGAATTTGAGTCACTATCTGTTAATGTTATGTGAAATTGAAGTCACATTGACCACTCTTTCTCCTCAGCAGCCAGCGCACAAAAAGATTGTCCTTTCCGCCACACTATTGAAGTCCCGCATTAAACAGGTGCTAATTAAAGGATCTAAGATATGGATTTCAATACCATGGACATTGAAGCTTGAAACTCATAACTTGGTTTGTTTGAGTTTTTATTGTTTTGATCCGATCCTATATGGGTTAGTTTGGAAAGTTGATTGGAGGTTGTAGCTAAAGTTTCAGTCAATTTGGTGGAGATTTTGTAGTAAATTTTAGAAATTTGGGTTGAAATATCGTTGAACCAGAGAAGAAGACGAATTTGTATTGTATACCCAAATAGTATACAAATATACCATTTTAGTATACAATTCATTCCAACTATATACCCTATTAGTATAGCTATATACTATATTGGTATCATATGCTAGTTGAATTATTTTTTGATTGCATTAGCTACATTTAAATGGTACAATATTTGATCTTCTTTTAATAATAGTAATATAGTACAATATCTTGAAATACCTTATTATATTAATATGTGGTACACTATTTTTTTATTTTTCTCTTTATGCATGTGTGTTATGGAATAGTAGTATAGTCATATAGTTGTCGAGAATTAACTAGTAAAACTGTGTACCATGTTGGTATAGTTATATACCATATTGGTATCATATGGTAGTTTGAACATTATTTTGGTTGTTTTAGCTGCATTTTAAGCGAATTCTATTATGAAATTATTTATATCAACATGAGTTGCAATAATGCTGGAATTTTTGTGTGCCGATGGACATAAATTGTGTGTATTAATAGTTTTTATAGTTATAGGCAATTGTTGGAACGACCCCATACAACTATATACCTTCTTAGTATACGAAATGAGCAAGTTGTTTTGCGAATATTTAGCTTCCAATACGAGCATGTAATTTTCTCATACTTTTATTGCGTCCTTTAATGTTTTGATAGAGTAGTATAGTCGCAGATAGTTGTAGAAATCATATGCTATGTTGGTATACATATATACCATATTGGTATCACATGGTACTAGAAGTCTTTTTCGCTACTTATACTTTGTTGTATTTTTTAATATTTTATTATTATTATTTTTATTCTAACTAGTATATATGGAGATTTGGTTGCCGTAGATTATGTTTTCTTGCTCTATAACTGGTTGTATTACTGCTAATGGTAGAGTGTGTATTGATATTTATAGGGAAGGAGATCAAGGTTTGCATGGCAACCACGTGTTGATTCTTAGAATTTGATTATGTAATTTATGGTGCTCAACAGCAGTCAATGTGATATCCAGTGTATTAGATCAAGTGACAACTGATGTTATTTCAGTTTATAATTGAATTTAAAAAATGAGACAAAAAGGTATATTGTACTAGTTATATTAAAAAAAAGGTGAACAAATATTTACTATATCAATTATTTTTCTTATTGTATAAAAAAATAATAATAAAAAATAATGAAAATGGTAAATGAAATTAGATTATGAAGAGAAAAAGAATATAAAAAACAAGAAGTTAAATGAAATTAGAAAAGGAAAAGAAAAAAATAAAAAGAAAAGCAAAAAAGAAAAAAAGAAGAAGAAAAGAAGCATAGAAATAAAAAAGAATTGGAGAATAAAGATAAGATTCCCCACAAAAACTACAATGGGTAGAAAATGTAATTAGTTTATGGGTAGAAAAATAAATAGGTAGACAAGGGTAAATAATTTTATTTTTGTGGGTAGCTGTGTCAATATAATATGGACCGAAGGTGAAGTGTAGCAACTTACGTCATGAACAGCCTCGCGAATTAGTTTCATTTGCTCTCTAGTAACAGTCCTCACCTGGGAAAATATAAAGCAAACGAAATTGAATATTAAACTTCAAATAAATAATGGCATCTTATCAGAGATAGAACGCTAGAGTTATTAAATTACCTTTCTTACAATAGTCCAGACAACATCTTGAGTACAAGGAGGAACAGTCAACGAGCCAATATATCTGTAGTATTTTCTGCTACCTAACTTCACTTGTTTTGGATCAATAACTCCAGTATTTCTCTCAACACCTTTTGTATGTGCTAGAGCCTTTAAATCATCCTCGATCTGTAATAAGAGATAGAGGCGGAATCGGGATTTAAAGTTTATGCATTCTGAATTTGCAACCGAACCCATAACTAACTGGGTTCGCAATTAAATATTTATACATATTTAATAAATTTTCTAGTGCAAATATGGTCTAAACAAAAAGTTACTGGGTTCGTCCGAACCTGTAGATAACACCCTCCCTCCATCCCTGATTAGAGATCGACCATCATAATTTTTTATATATAATCTGATCTATATTTTAATCTGTTATAGCAAATGCTTTATTTTTCAGTTACTAATACCATTATTTTTATGAACATGACTGATAATTATCTTATCGTGACCTAATAATGTAAAAATTATTTAAGTTAAACTTTTTTGGAATTAAGTTATGTTTAGTGTGTGCATGTAATTAATACCATAGACAAGAAGGAATCAGCTCTTCCAATCTTGTACATAATTCC